GGGGGGGGGGGGGGTAAAGATTAAGGGTAGAGATGTAACGTATAGACGAGGTAAGGGTTGGGGCCGTATTTGACTGGCTGATATTACTGCGTAAAAACTTAATTCCAAATGTTTATTTTCTTACAATCCTGGCACTGATATAAAGTTGCCGGGGTTTAAGTAGACTGCTTTTGAGTGTTGAGTGATGTTAAGTGTTTAGTGTTAACTGGTGTGTGGAATGATGTTGAGTATGGAGTGATCTTGAGTGTTGAGTGTGTTGAGTGTTGTGTGTTGAGTGTTGAGTGTTGAGTGTTGAGTGTTGAATGTTGAGTTTTGAGTTTTGAGTGTTATGTGCTGTTAAGTGATGTTAAGTGTTGATTATTGACTGTTGAGTGATGTTATGTGTTGAGTGTTGAGTGTTAAGTGATGTTAAGTGTTGGGTTTTGACTGTTGAGTGATGTTTAGTCTTGAGTGTTGACTATTGAGTGATGTTAAGTCTTGAGTGTTGAAATCTAGATTCGAGGTTACGAGTGAGAATTGAGTTTGGGTTTGGTTTGAGGGATAGTAGGAGAGGATCAAATGAAGCTAGGGGATGATTGAATGGAGCAGGATTGAAATAGAGGTGTGGATAAGTGCCAAGACGTTTGTTCCCATTCTTGGCGTAGTCCTAGAGGAAGAACCTCCACGACTAAATAATATACTAAATATATTAAACTTACATTGGTGAAAACGTCAATGTTTCTAAAATATTCTATCCTTGATATTAAAAATAAATGGGAAAAATTTAGATTTTCTTAATTAGTCTTAATTCTTGTTGATAAAAAGTCAAACTTTTTTGTATGACGTGACCCGATCCGGCAAATCTGATTTCATGCACCGTGACGCATTTTCTAAAATTCAGTCTGATTTTTCAGGTTCAAGTCCAACTCCGACTTTGATCTTTCACAGGCAGGGTTTATGAATATATTCAGGATTCATGGTCGGGCCATTTCCGTTCTTGTCAAATCACTTCATTTATAAATTCGAAACAGAATGAAATGTAAATATTTTCTTCAGGGTTCGAAACCTTTGGTGTTTTGATAAATCTACAGAGAATTTAAAGGTGGAGATAATTGTTTATAAAAGGAAGAATACTTTTACTCATTTTCATTTTTTGAACACCAATAAAGAAATAATCACGAAGGTCAAAGAATGGCATGATATTTTTCAATTTTGGATTATTTGAAACAGCTTATGTTTTTCTTATAGTTGCATAGTAGTTTAAAGATGGGATTTTAAGTATAGTTTGTGTTATACAGGAATATTTGTGCATATTATGCAGCGGTCTGTTTATAGTTATGCGTAGGGTTACAATTTTACTGTTTCTTTGTTTTGGGATTTACTGTTCTGTTCTCATTATTTCATTTTTTAATATAATTTTTCTATTGATGATTTTTATATATTTTTCTCTATTAACGATTTTTTAAGGGTCACAATAACCTCTAAAAGTGGATTACAAAGTTGCTGGAGTGTCAAGTTGACTGGTCCGATTTTAGAATTGATTTTTTTGTATTTTTTTCTCTTTTTCTTTTGGGGGCTCATCCCTCCTGGAATCAGTAAAATCTATGACTCCAAGAGGGTTTTTATGCCCAGGGAGTGCGTAACACCCTCCTGAAAAAAAAATGTGAGCATCCCTCCTGAACAAATTCCTGAATACGCCCCTGAAAGGAACTGAACTGGTTACTCTCCTCATATTCCAATTCTTTAATTCTTATATCTTTATAGCCTGATGTTTTATATTTGAACTGTGAGTTCTGCTAGAGATCAAATTGTTAAAGTTTAAAGTATGAATGATTCACAACATTAGGTTTGAAAGATATAGTAATTTGAAAATTACAGTTTTTAGTTCATTTCTGGAGTTCTGGAATTGTAAAATACAAAATTGTCATAAAATAAGTGAAACTTTAATTTGTGTTTTAAGATGTTTAAAGTTTCTCCATTCTCCAAGGATTCCCCGAAGTACTAAAGGGTTCCCTGGAGTACTAGAGAGTTCCCTGGAGTACTAAAGGGTTCCCTGGAGTACTAAAGGGTTCCCTGGAGTACTAAAGGGTTCCCTGGAGTTCTAAAGGGTTCACTGGAGTACTAAAGGGTTCACTGGAGTACTAAAGGGTTCCCTGGAGTACTAAAGGGTTCCCTGGAGTACTAAAGGGTTCCCTGGAGTACTAAAGGGTTCCCTGGAGTACTAGAGAGTTTCCTGGAGTACTAAAGGGTTCCCTGGAGTATTACAGGGTCCCTGGAGTATTAAAGGGGTCCTTGGAGTACTAAAGGGTTCACTGGAGTACTAAAGGGTTCCCTGGAGTACTAAAGGGTTTTCTTGAGTACTAAAAGGTTCCCTGGAGTACTAAAGGGTTCCCTTTAGTACTAAAGGGTTCCCTGGAGTACTAAAAGGTTCTCTTGAGTACTAAAGGGTTCCCTGGAGTACTAAAGGGTTCACTGGAGTACTAAAGGGTTCCCTGGAGTACTAAAGGGTTCCCTGGAGTACTAAAAGGTTCTCTTGAGTACTAAAGGGTTCCCTGGAGTACTAAAAGGTTCTCTGGAGTACTATAGGGTTCCCTGGAGTACTATAGGGTTTCTGACTCCCAATTCTATTTTCTAAATTCATCCATCAAACCTTCTCATAAACTTGAGATATAATCATATGGTTTATTTGAAGGCAGGCACGCAGAGGCGTTTTCATGTTTAGTAACCAATTTAGGGACCTGATATGAAGTATCTGTTTTTAACCTACAGGCCCAGGATGCAAGATTGATTTTTATATGAGCACATAAATGTGCTTCATTAATTTCAAGTATGCAACAGAGTTAAACCGGAAAACACGTTGAAGGAGAAATATAGAACTTAATTTATTTCTAAATTATTTATTCATGAGCTTGTTGTTTATGCCAAGGTAGGTGTTTATACCCTAGTATAGGGCGTATACGGTTCAGATACGAATATTTTTAACCAACCAAATATGTTTCAGCTTTGAACACCGAGAAACCGGAACTAGGGACAGACGGAGAGCAGGAGAAACCGGATACATCAAGTCAACCTGAACCTGAACCTGATCAGGAGGGATCAGCTGAACCCGAACCCGAACCTGAGTCGGAACCAGAACCGGAACCCGAATCTGAACCGGAACCGGAACCTGAGGCTGAACCGGAAGTTCTAAATGGGAACCCCTGGACTCCGAAGGGAAAGCTGCATAGTATGGACTGTATGGATATGGTGATAGGAATGGCTCGAGGAGATACTTCCAGGGTTTGGGACTTTTATACCAGGGATAGATCTACTCCACAGGTTAGTATAGGGCATAAAGATATATGTATAAATTGGTAATCTCTGTTTTTCTGTCTTTTTAATTGTATGTCCAATTTGCCTCAAATTTTTATTGTAAAACCAAAGGAATGTTGTAGGTTTAGAAATTCTAAGTTGAGTGGGTTGACATCTATAGAGAAAAGTCCAGGGCAAAGCTTGGGGTTTAAGCTATAGTTATAGCATAATTTAGACTAATTATTCAAGCTATAGTTATAACATAATTTAGACTAATTATTCAAGCTATAGTTACAGCATAATTTAGACTGATTATTCAAGGGACTAGAGACGTAAATATTAAATAAACCTCTATTTATTGACTAATTGTTCAGATTCACAACGGTACCCTCAAGAGCTTTGTATGATCTAGAAAGAATGAGATATCCATGTTTTTAAGTTTGAAAAAAGATTTTTTCCAATATGTTTTCTCTTACAAAGTAATTTACGGATTCCCTTTCAAACTTTTCAATTCTTTGCTTCCAACATTTTGTTCTGCAAGAAGAAATGGTGAAACATAAAAAACTAAAGTATTTTTTGTAATAAAAATAAAAATTTTAATTTAAACAAGTCTCCATTACATAATTTACATTTACAAACTTAACATTTTTAATAATATCAGAAGTTTTTCCTTGTTAGCAGTGGAAGGGGTGGGGTGTGGGGAATTTATTAATTAGCTAAGCTGCAGGGAGTCCTGATACATGGAGTTAGGATGGATAACATTTAATCCAGCTTTTTATTGAATAACTAGAAGTATTTAAGGAAGTTATACCAAGAGATTTTCATCTCCAACTGGTTCAACTGTTTTAGAAACGTTTTAAGCTGCACTTCGTTTTAACTATACTCCATGAATGTTTGTTTTAAACGAACTGATTTTTTACCACAAACTCGGATTATCTAATCCCAATATCTTTGCAACCTCTATAATGGTGTACACCTTTGATATTTCAGACTTAGACTATTTGATCTAACAGAATTTTTTACTTGAAATCTCAAAAATCTACGACATTTGGTTGCAAAGAGATAAGAATTTGAAAATCAGAGTTTGTGGTAATAACTCCCTTTAAGTTTTTTTATTTAGTTTTCTAGAAAATTTTTTAATAATCTTTAAAAATATCTTTTCATTATTTTCTTCATGAAAAGTACCAATACATTGATGTAATTAAAAAAAATCACATTGGCACGACATGCACTGTGATTTAAAGGTTTCAAGCTCTCAAGCAAAAATCGATGAGAATTTTGCTAAATACTTCTTAAAAACCAAAGCATAACAAGTGCTGTATAGTCCTAAATGTGCATATAAAGGGCAACAAAAAAGCATAAGTGAGTTAGAGCGGTAAAATCAAGACCCAAGGCGTTGCGACACTTCAAAGTCGACCCTGTCTTGATGAGACTTTTATATGCAGGTTTAATTTATATTTAGAACATCAGTTTTCGTCTTTTAAGTAAAAATAACTAAATGAAAATAGGTTAGCATAATTTTAGGATGGCTGGTCATTAAAGGTCAAGAGTCAATTCTATGAAAGACCAGTCATGCAAGAAAACTACTTCATTTTTTTCTTACACTTCCTATATAGAAGAAGTTTTAAATTAGATCCTGTTGATTAAATGAGTCAGTTTAGGGTTGGAATGGATAGCACTAATGTAGAGTTGAGAAAGAGAACTTGTTTTTCTTTGTCCTAAAACCTTTTAACTTGTAAAATAGATTTTATTGCTTCAACTTGAAAAAAACAAGAGATAAGAATTAGTATAAAAGGGTTGAGGATTGATACCTTTGTTTCACATAAAAATGAGAAACCCTGTTTTTGTTTTGTTTACAGAGATATCTGTTTTCAGAATCTAAACATTTGCCTTCATAGAACTACCTCATCTATATTAAAGTGAACTAATGAGTAAGTTTGGTATCAAATTGGACTAAAATGTAACTTTCGGAAAAAATGTATTTTATTTTATTTTTCACCTGTTTATTTCTGCTTGAAACTTTCTTTAACTAACTGCTTAAAGAGCATATTTGCCGGTTCAAAAATACTCATTCTACGTACCTCAACTTTTTTATGAGTAACACAGTTATAGCTATCTTACCAGAATTATATAAAATTCTGTCAAAACCCGATTTTTTACGCTATTCGATCAAATGATACAAAAACTGTGATATTATATCACATAGATCCTGACTGCTAATAATACTTTTATGAATTTTCAAGACCGTAACCATTTGACGTTTGTTTTTACCTCACTAACTCAAAGTAATTATTTCTAGCCTTAGACATGTACAATTTAGAACCGTGAAGCCCTTGTTTTCATATATATATTTAGTTTTTTTCAGAAGTAATTGGCAAAAATCTCGTCAAGTTATGCTCTAGAGCTTCCAAGCCTTAGATCACTGAGATATGCATTTTCAAATTGGTGAACACTCCCTTTTATTTTAGAGAAATATTTTCAAATTGGTGAACACTACCTTACATTGTAGAGAGATATTTTCAAATTGGTGAACACTCCCTTTTATTGTACAGAGATATTTTCAAATTGGTGAACACTACCTTACATTGTAGAGAGATATTTTCAAATTGGTGAACGCTCCCTGTTATTGTAGAGAAATATTTTAAAATTGGTGAACACTCCCTTTTATTGTAGAGAGATATTTTCAAGTTAGTGAACACTCCCTTTTATTGTACAGAGATATTTTCAAATTGGTGAACACTACCTTTTATTGTAGAGAGATATTTTCAAATTGGTGAACACTCCCTTTTATTGTAGAGAGATGTTTTCAAATTGGTGAACACTCCCTTTTATTGTAGAGAGATATTTTCAAATTGGTGAACACTCCCTTTTATTGTAGAGAGATATTTTCAAATTGGTGAACTCTCCCTTTTATTGTAGAGAGATGTTTTCAAATTGGTGAACGCTCCCTGTTATTGTAGAGAAATATTTTAAAATTGGTGAACACTCCCTTTAATTGTAGAGAGATATTTTCAAGTTAGTGAACACTCCCTTTTATTGTAGAGAGATACCTACTGGGGAGGAGAGAGTGATATAACCGCTGCTCTAGCCTGGGAGGAAGATGGAGAAACTACAATATTTTTTAGGAAACCATTCATTCATTTATTATACATTAGTTATTAGTTTTTAACCTTCCTTTCTCCATTCATCCATTCATTTCATTTAATTCATTAGTTCTCTACCTTTCTTTCCGCATCCATCCATCCATTCATTTAATTTTATTCATTAGTTTTAAACTTTTCTTTCCCCATTCATCCATTCATTTCATATAATTCATTAGTTTTCAACCTTCCTTTCCCCATTCATTCATTCATTTCATATAATTTATTTTTTTTTAATCTTCCTTTCCCCATTCATCCTTTCATTTCATATAATTCATTAGTTTATAACCTTCCTTTCCCCATTCATGCATTCATTTCATATAGTTCATTAGTTTTCAACCTTCCTTTCCTCATCCATTCATCCATTAATTTCATATAATTCATTAGTTTTCAACCTTCCTTTCCTCATCCATTCATCCATTTATTTCATATTATTCATTAGTTTTCAACCTTTCTTTACCTGGCCATACATCCATTCATTCATTTAATATTTTTTATAAGTTTGTAAGCTTCCTTTCCCCCCTTTTCTGCTTGAGTTTTGAGTGTACATAATTTAGTGTTTTTATACAGTGGTTCCCATAAAACTGTGGAATAGAAAGAAAACATTGTTGCAAATTAAACTTAGTCTAACAGTCTTTTCCTATCACACAGTTTTATGGGTATCACTGTATTTTTCATTATTTTTCAACCTTCCTTTTTCTCATGTTATGATTGGATCAAGCTTTTTTATCTTTTTTATTTTTATTTTAAAATCAGGGTTTCCGTCCTATTAAAACTTTTTAAATTGAATAATGGTTGCCCGACTCCAGGAAGAAGCTTGAAGCGAACGGTCCAACCGATCACACGATCATAGACGAGGAGATGCTCGTCATCTGGGCCGTGGGCCAGGAGACAGGGATGTACAGCCACTCCCCCGCCTCCGGACTAGAGTCCGAGAAGGCCTCCATACCTGACTACTATCGTCCGGACGAGTTGAAGTACCATGGGAAAGAGAACAGAGGAAAGACGAGTTTAAACTTTTTTGATGAAAGTAAACGAGATTTAAACGAAGTGGCTGATCTCAACTATTGTGGGAATGAGTTTAAGTATCCTTCATCCTGCAGTGTTCAGGTAGAACTTCATAAAATAATTTAGAACATTTTTTTATTTCTTTTAATAAAGTTTAATTTTACTTGCTGTTAATTTGTGACCTTTATACACAATTAAGGATGAAAATGATTTTATGTAAAGAATGACGTTGGATAACTTTGTTGACTAATGTTTTGTTTGTTCTTCAATATTGTAGACAAAATAGTTTAACTTTTCATTTCTTTTAACCTTGATTTATGTTTCTAATTTTACTCTTCCCAAAATATTCTTTGATTTCTTCACCCTGTTTCTCCTCTTTATTTTTCCTTCTTTTTAGTTTTACATCTTTCTCCAGCTCTTTTTTCTTCTTTTTAGTTTTACATCTTTCTCNTCTTATGCGCAATCTATCTTTATCTATGGTTTTACATCTTTCTCCAGCTCTTTTTTCTTCTTTTTAGTTTTACATCTTTCTCCAGCTCTTTTTTCTTTTTAGTTTTATATCTTTCTCCAGCTCTTTTTTCTTCTTTTTAGTTTTACATCTTTCTCCAGCTCTTTTTTCTTCTTTTTAGATTTACATCTTTCTCCAACTCTTTTTTCTTTTTATTTAGTTTTATATTTTCTCCAGCTCTTTTTTTTAATTTTATATTTTCTCCAGCTCTTTTTTCTTCTTTTTAGTTTTACATCTTTCTCCAGCTCTTTTTTCTTTTTTACTAAACTAATAATTTATTTCAGGATAAGACATGTGAATATTTTGCCCGATGGGAATATGACGAGAATCTTGATAAAATCAACTTTACAATAATATCCAATAATCCAAACAAATGGACTGGAATAGGGCAGTACACAACTCATCAACAACTAAAATTATTGTATTTAAAAATCTATGCTGAGCTGTGAACTCTTGTAATTGATACCCACAAAATCTCCTTGATATCTTGATTTGGATATCCATACGTTCTCTGTTATCTGATTGATCAAACGCAAAAATACTTTGCTTTTGATTGGCTTTTCGTTTTCTGCACTTAATGGGAATAAATATAGAATTAAAGATTAAATTAACAAATATCAAGATCAAGAACTGATCATAATATCCACAGTACAACAGTTCCTTTCTCTTAACATCTAAAGATTTATAAATCGATACTTAAAGAAAAATGACAATTTTCAATATATAGTTAGCTTTTTTGGATATTATGGATATTTTGTCAAATTTTTTTAAACAAACTAAACCATAAACATGCATTGTAATACTGTAAAAGTAAATAAATAATTTTTTCTTTTCATTTCAAAAAGCTTAGATTTTTAACATTTAATTTCTTTGTTTATTTTGTTTACGATGAGTATTGTACTGCAGGGTTCTCTAACACACCCTTTATGAGTCTGACAGATGCTATTCTTGGTTGGGTTGAACCAAATGGAAGGTGGGATATTTGTGTTTCAAAATTATTACAAGACACATTCTACTGTTGAATAGGAAGACGACATTTAATATATTTTCTGTGGTTTTAATCTAAATAGTTTTAGCAGTAACTTGAAATCCAACTTATCAAGTAAAATGGTTCTTTATTCATAATAGTTTTGTTGTTCAAGTTTATTGGAATATTATAATCATAACTTAAATCTAACAGTCGTCTTCCTTTCTCACAGTTTTATTGGTCTCACTGTACAGTAATCACATGAACTGTTTATGATTTAAATACTTGAAACTTGAAACTCATTGTTTTTTTATTTAAAATTAAAAGTAGTTTTTTTTTAAAAAACGGTTAACACCTTCATTTAGTTTTCTTTTTAACTTTTGAAAATAAGATTTAATCTGTATCAGGTTCTTCTTGATGGATATGTGGACGACGAACTACTTGAACCCTGTCCTGGAGAACCAGCAGGACATTGAGAACGCTTCAGGCAAAACGGAGGACGGCTTCACCACACTAAAGTAAGTCCTGCTGTTTTTTCGAACGAATTCTTCTAAATTAAAATTCATATTTACTTTGAAAACTGTAAGTGTAATTTCAAGTGACTATCCATGCAAAATGGCAATGCTCGATTTACAACAGTACCCATAAAATCTTTGTCTGATCAACCTTGAACTCGAACTCTATAATTTTTCTCTTTGAAAACTGTCAAGTTTGATTTGTAGTTTCTCTGCAAAAGTGCAAATTGCGCATTTCTTGCTGCTTAAAAGAAAAATTGGATAAATTTAATAGAATTAAACCCTTTTCGAGTCAGAAAAACGGCGTTATCTCCCATGTTTTTGATCAGATTTAGGTTTTCAGGGTACTGTTGAAAATAAGGTATTTTTGTCTTTGTTTGGAGAGTTACTTGAAGTTCAGCTTACAATTCCATTAAGGGACTCGACTGTGGGCGTAATCTTAAGCGACCCTTCATCTAAACATGTTTAATGACCAATACATAATGTTACCCTTCGTCTGAAAATTGATCATTTTGAATTGTGGTTTCTCACGAAAAATGACCTGCGGCTTTACGCAGCAAGAGACAAAGAAAAAAATTGACAGAATTAACATTTCGAAATTGAAAAGCGTGGATTTCTTCATCATTGTTGCTCAAGTATCACCTGAAATCACGTTGTCAGTCCATTAAACAATTTTCATGATATTACTTTTGGATCAATTATAATCTTGGTTTTGTCAAGTTTTAACCAATTTTTACAACATTCACCAAATTCTTTTATTTACAAGATTTACCAGAGCCCGTGAAACAGGAGACAAACAAGATGTCGCATTCACAGACAACGAGGGCATGTACATGATCTTCCCTGTACGCGGGGGTCGGTACAACGGGGTAAACAAGAGGATAAAGAAGCACGAGATCACCCCTGTTCCTTCGACAGAGAGGATATTCATCAAATCATGTCGGACAGGTCGGTTCCACTTGTTGTAAACGGATATTTATCAAACCATGGCGTTATAAGGTCGGTTCACCTTGCTGTAAAGGGATATTCATCAAATCATATCGAAGTTGTCAGTTCACCTTGTTGTAAAGGGATATTCATCAAATCATATCGAAGAGGTCAGTTCACCTTGTTGTAAAGGGATATTCATCAAATCACGTCGGACAGGCCGGTTCCACTTGTTGTAAAGGGATATTTATCAAATCATGTCTGGCTGGTCGGTTCACCTTGTTTCATCAAATCAGATAGGACTGGTCGGTTCCACTTGTTGTAAAGGGATATTCATCGAATCATGTCGTATAGGTCGGTGCAACTTGTTGTAAAGGGATAATCATCAAATCATGTCGTTTAGGTCGGTTCAACTTGTTGTAAAGGGATATTCATCAAATCATGTCGTTTAGGTCGGTTCAACTTTTTGTAAAGGGATATTCTTCAAATCATGTCGTTTAGGTCGGTTCAACTTGTTGTAAAGGGATATTCATCAAATCATGTCCTGGTTGGTCGGTTCAACTTGTTGTAAAGGGATGTTCATCAAATCAAACTAATTGTTTTCTCTGATTATTATTTTTACCAGAAAGAATTGCACTAAACGAATACAGGGGTTCCACCTCTTTATCAATTTCTAAATTGTTTTTTTAGTGTGGAGCAAATGACCAAAGTTGTAGCGCCACCGAAAATATTTCTTTCAAGTTCCTAGAATTTTTTTTATCACTTTATTATTGGTGTTTAGCTGATGGTAAGCCGACCTATGCCGTGACCCAGAAGCCTCCTGTGTTGACGTTCCCAGCTCAGATGAAGTTTGTGGAACTTGGAAACTTCTACAAATTACCTAATGAAGGAACAAAGTAAGTTTATTTTTATTTTTAACACAACATTATTCTTTCAAATTAATACAAATATTTGTTTAACATCAAGCTTCTTTTGTTGGATTATCAATATAAGTCATTAATACTAGAATGCTAGAAGGTTAAAAGTTTATTAAGATTATTTTGCCAACATTTTTTTCAAATTTATGCTTTTTTGTCAGGGATTATGTTGAACTTGAGACCAGGATATCCAGGAGCCTTAGTCAGACCAACCTCAAGAACGTTCCAGGTTTCCAGGGAGTTCAAGTCATCAAATTCCATAGGTAGATATACACATTTTAGCCATTTCTATTATGTTCTTCACTCTTTGATACCATATTATTGAAGGTTATTTTATCAAATTCTATTCGTTCTATTCCAATCTCATATCAACTTTATGAGATTATTTTGTATTTTAAGATTCTTACTGTGTTATTTGATTCTTTTAAAGTGGTTTGAGATTCTATGAATGTTTTATGAGATTCTATCAGAGTGTTATGAGATTCTATCAAAGTGTTATGAGATTCTATCAAAGTGTTATGAGATTCTAACAGAAGGGAATAGAGGGAGAATTTTAAGAAATTGAACCGCGTCTAGACATGAGACACGGTTCAAACATGGTTGTTTCAGCTGAAAATTTGAATAAGTGTTTCGATATTTGAGCCAGCGCTCAATTCGAACCGGTTATTGATGGTTCAGCGACGCAGTTCAAATTCTTTAAATTCGGTCTCCGGATACATCCAGCAAATTAGGAGAAGCATATCATATTTTGGTCACAACTTCATAACGATATTTTTTTTCTAATAAGCAGATTTCAATAACATTCTGAGCTTGAATCAGTATGTTGAATCAGTATATTGAATCAGTATGTTGAATCAGTATGTTGAATCAGTATGTTGAATCAGTATGTTGAATTTGAATCAGTATGTTGAATCAGTATGTTGAATCAGTATGTTGAATCAGTATGTTGAATTGGGTTTTCAACTTTTTCCGAAGCTTTACTGAAAGCTGGGAATCCCCATCCTTAAAATCTTTTATTTTGGGCCGTAGTCAGAAATTTGACCAAGGGGGGCTTAGCCACCATAGCCCCTCCTGATTACGCCTCAGGGTAGAACCTTTCTAATCAAACTATCAATAAATTAATACCCCCTAGAATCTACACAGATGTTAAAGTTAATAGTCCAAATTATTTTTTTACAGTGATAACCAGGGCGAGTTCTACACTGACTTGGTGGTTGTACTGGACAAAAATGAGTTTGAGAGCGTTGAAGATAAGGAGGTTACCGTAGCCTCTGCTCTTGAGGAAACTGTGAGCGGAGGACGGCTTGGATCTCTTAGATTAGATCCTCAATCACTTACTATGGGTAAAATATTCACTCATGCTTTCAAAACTTATTTTTAAGAAACTTAAAGAAACTGTCGTTTGAATTCCATGGGATCCCTCATTTTAAGAGAGACATGACTAGTTCACAACCGTACTCTTTATCTGCAATCAATAGCAATTAGGCTTTTAGCTTGAAAAGAGTTAAATTAAGTTTTAATTATCGATATATGTTTTTTGTTAATACTTGATCTTAAAAAGCTTTCAAGGATACTGTTGTGAATCTGGTATGCAATTCTAAAAATCGAGGGTTTCCTAAAATTAAGGCTAAAACCACTTGAAACTAAAATTGCTAATTTCCAGGCGAGATCATAGTCTCTGAGACTGTGAACTCTGTGGATTCAAGAACGGAGGATGAACCTAATATCAAACTGTATGTGGTGGTTGCTTGTATTGCTGCTCTGGTTCTGGTTGCCCTGATGCAGGCCTCTTGTACTATATACAGGATGACAAGACGGGGCTCATCAATACATACGGTAAAGAGGAGGGGTTGCAGCTCAATAAAACCCCGATAGATGTCGAAAATTGTGTTAAAAGTGCATTAAATTCAAATCACAGAAAACAAAATTTTACGGTGATTACTAATTGAGGTGGTAGAGATTACCAATTGAGGAGCGCGCTTGCCGCAAAACAGATTTGGGTGGCGGTGATTACTATTTGAGGAACTCTGGACTCCCTCCCTCCTTGAACCCTTTATTTAAAGATCTCTCATAACCGAATCAAACATTCTAAATTCTTTCTCCATTTTCAGGAGAAACTTCTGAGCCAGTCTCAATGGAAGGATTATGTGAGCCAGCCACCTGTTCACTCTAACCACGCTTACGATGCATTTGATCACGACGACCCCAAAGGCTGGGGCCCGGCGCGCCACACTTATGACCGGCAAATGCGCGCAAACACTCACAGTTTGCCGCGTGGTCAACATGTCTCAGCCCCACCGCCTCCTGCCTATCCCATGGGATATTCCTCCTACGATCGACGTTCCGGAAGTTTCGCCTCTCAGCCACGTGGTCCAGCTGATTTCCCGCCAGATCACTACTTCATGCCAAGCCAGAGAAAATATACCGGCGAAGTGTTGAGGGTGTACGTAGACTACAATAAATGAATGCCTAGTAACCACGTAGTGGAGATTAGTGTTAGTGTGAGTTCTCTTGGAGTAACAGGGTGTAGGGACACAAGAGAAATGGTGGAGTGGTTGGGTTGGGACGGGGTGATGGAATGGGGGTATTATGAGTTTTATAATTATCGCTATTAGAATTCCAATTATGGTTATTTCATTCAATCACAAAGTTTCAGTCATATATTATAATAAATATTTTTTTCTTTTAGCAAATTCTTTTCGTCAAATTCCCAGAATATGGCATCAATAAATGGATTTTTTTTATCCCTACAACTTTGTTGTGTAATGCAATAACACACACTATTAGAATTCTGACAGTATTTTTTGTGTTGAATATTGAAGTATGAATTTGTTCAGAAAAATTTTACTGATTATTTATCAAGTTTTCATAAATTCTCCTAGCATTTTGCACATGGAATAATGAAAAGAGGTGGCCAATTTGCACAAATCAGTAAATGACGAAAAAATAAACAAGATCCGGCAGAATTAGGACAACAGATTTATTTTTAAACGCCAAATTTCAAAGAATTATTTTTTTGTAAAAAATCTGCAAACTGCATGCCAAAATATTCTATACATTATTTTATCAAACACGACAATCATACAGTAAACCCATAGACCTGTGAAATAGGAAGACGACTTTTAAATTCAAGTTATGACCGTGAATAGTCCAATGAACAAGAGACAAGTCAGGTGTGCAGTGTAAAAAGATCAATTTCCCATAATTTTTTTATAGTTTAATAGTTTATTTTTAAACTAATGGTTTTGTCTCGCTAAATGACATTTTAGCACTTATCTAGCCATCATTACAGAATTATTTTCACGAAATTAAATTAAAAGACCCTCGTTTTTCATAACCTTTTTATTTTCGATAGAATATACGAATTTTTTATGATAAGACTGAACTAAATTCTTTGGCAATTAAGATTTTGCACGTCTTATTAACACCAAGCATGCAAACTTTTGTTTGTAAGATTTTAATTGTTAGAAATATTTTGCATGAATTGATAAAGTTTTGCACTCAATATGTTTTATAAATATGTACACAAACAGCCTCTTCAGATTTATTTAAACAAAACGTTTTCAAGGGGGGGGGGGAAATCTAGGCCTATTTTATAATTTTGTTTTTAAGGTTTGGAAAGTTCAAAACTTTCTTAATTATTTAAATATTTTATGATGTTAATTAAATTTTCTTGATCTGGAGAGGGGAGGGTGTAGGTTGAATGTACACAAGCATGATTTTACAACAAGGGTTTCCCATTTCTTCAAGATAATAAAACAATTTACTAAAGCTTTAAGGAAGTTTCTAAGGCCTTTAGGACTAGCTGTAACATATTGAATTCATTTTTAGGAACGATTTGCTATGAAATTATTCCATAAAATCGTTCCATATATAGATTTTTAGCATGTGATACATTGGAACTCTTGTCCGAATTTAATGAAATTAAGCCGCGTCTCAAATCCCCCAAAAACCGGTTTCAATTAAGTGCCGGAATAAATCTTGAAAATTTAATACAATTTTAAGTGGAACCAACCATATTTGAGCCGCAGCTTAATTTTAAACCGCGGCTCAAATTCTTTAATTTCGGCCTCCTGAAGCATATTTTTATGTGAAAACTAATTAAGTTATATTTCAGGCCTAAGTAAGAAGTCAGCAAACGAAGATGATCTACAAGCATGAACTATCATTGTTGTACAGCTGTTAAATTATTCAAATGGGTGTCGCAGAAAACTTTTCGTTTAAAAACTTTGCAATGCTCATTCTTGTTCAATCTTGTTACCTGACACTGAAGTGTGATTTTTTGGACTTCTTTTCTGCATGAAGTTGCAAGTGTACGGCTGATTTTGGAATATTTTTCAATTATGTTGATTATTATAACTGTACACTATACATGCATGTAATGTTGTATAGGTATTGATCTGTACACTATAGACTGTACTTTTGACTCCAGTACTGAAACATTTATGTACTCTATTATAAAATACTTTATTAGTTATATTAGTTAAATATACATTATGTGCCAAACTTATTAGCATTTTTTTAATCTGGTTTATAGATTTGAAAAATCCCGGGAATTTAGGAAGCAATTTAATTATTTAATGTTGAATTTTTAACATTTTTAAATACAAAATGTAAAAAAATTTTCTTATAAAAACTTCTTGGTTAAATTCCTAAAATATAGCATTTATGAATGGATTTCTTCAATCCTCACAATTTTGTTGCAAGCGCGGATCCAGGGGGTTAAGGGGTCGACGACCCTCTCTTTTTAAAAAAAGGGGGGGGGTCAAGAGTATCTTTTGACCCCCTCTTTTCTGGAGACTAACCTAAAAGTTTACTGCAACTTGTTTTCCATCAGATACTTTAATATGCTTTAACAAAACTGATGCTTAAATCAAATCAGCCTATTTTCTTGGGAAAAAAAATATCTATGAAATTTTAAAATATGTGAATGTCAATTTTTTTGTGAGAATGTGACAGTGTGTACACCGTAACACTGAATGTGTGTCTCTATCCTCCTTGGTAACTAAAGATGCAAATTTGTTACCCATGAAGAAAATATAAGGCCAAAACGATAGTTTTATAAATGATCGTTTTTAGTTCGTTTTTGCCTTATGTTTTCTCCTAGGATAAAAAATTTGCATGTCTGACAATAGTAAACTTCTACAGAAGACAATTTCAAATCTTTGAGAAGTCCAAAAGTATTAAAACTTTCTGTAAAACGAATCTAGCAATTGCCCATCGCTATATTTAAACCTACAGGGTTAATCACAAAAAATAGGAGTTAAGAAGAGATTAAAACTCTAGAATCTTGAAATCACATCCTTTGGGTCACATGAAAGAACACCCCATGATCCTTTTGCAGTTAATATTTTAACCTTAAACAATATGTAAAATTGTAATTAGAAATTATGTAATGCCAATGGAAATGGAAATATATTTATTTATGAGTAATGTCTGAGTGAAAAAATTGTAAGTGCAGCTCTAAGGTAGAAATATTTTTACATACTAAAAGAATAATTTTCTGTTTTGACCACATAAAATACTCACTTTTAATGCTTAGTTCTTTTTAAAAATTTACGGGGGACTACGCCCCCCTGGACCCCCCCCCTCACTCACTACGTCTCACTCGGTACTATACCCAATATTATTCAGACTTTGACCCCCCCCCCTTTTTAAAAGGCTGGATCTGCCCCTGTTATGTTGTGCAATGCAGTAAACATTCTGTAAGTATTTCTAGTGTTAAATATTGAATAATAATTTGATAAGTTTAATTTAATCTCATTCGATCTCTATATTGGAAGAGGGAGAGAACCCCCATGCATAATAGTTTTTACATGCAATATAAAAGTTTTTAATTGTTTAACAAGAATTTTACTGGAGAACAAAATACAAAAAATTCTTTACTACAAGTAAAAACCAGAAGTTTTAAGGAAACTATTCTGTAGAGCGGAGGCACATTTACTGTTTAGCGGAGTCTCTTACTGCATGGCGGAGGCTCCATCTGCCAAATATGGGAGGCTCGTGGCTGCATAGCAGAGGCTCATGGCATCCGGGGGTTGTCTCCCTCCTTGGAAATGTCATTAAAATATATTTAATTATTGTTATATTTTTTACATTTTAAGATATCAGTAAAAATGTGGAATGCTAATTAAAGATATTTTTATTTGGCTATTATTTTTAATGCAGTTTGTTGACATTTTAAAATTAGAATCAAACAGGAAATACTAAGATATTTAATAATAATAATAATTCTAAAATGGAGAATAAGTTTTGTATAATTGTTATTTTCTCGTCTTTTCGTGTTTCCTTGAGGATCTAGTCGTTTTCCCGTCCAGCATCAACTCCGAGATCTCTCCAGCATCAGGTCAGAGATCTCTCCAGCATCAGCTCCGAGATCTCTCCAGCATCAACTCCGAGATCTCTCCAGTATCAACTCCGAGATCTCTCCAGCATCAACTCCGAGATCTCTCCAGTATCAACTTCGAGATCTCTCCAGCATCAGCTCCGAGATCTCTCCAGCATCAACTCCGAGATCTCTCCAGCATCAGCTCCGAGATCTCTCCAGCATCAACTCCGAGATCTCTCCAGCATCAACTCCGAGATCTCTCTCTCCAGCATCAACTCCGAGATCTCTCCAGCATCAGCTCCGAGATCTCTCCAGCATCAACTCCGAGATCTCTCCAGCATCAACTCCGAGATCTCTACAGCATCAACTCCGAGATCTCTCCAGCATCAACTCCGACGAGATCTCTCCAGCATCAACTCCGAGATCTCTCCAGCATCAACTCCGAGATCTCTTCTAAAGCATAAATATTTCTGTGAAGAGAAGAAATAAAATTGATTCTTTACAATCTCTAAAATCTCTGAGATTGGAATTTTTTATTAAAAATACCCAATATTTTCTTAAGAACTACTCATTCATATTTTCATATTTTTATTCAAGTTTCATTTTTTTGCACGAAATAATACAAATAAAAAATCACTACTTACTATGTAGTTTCTACCCGCCTAACTAGAGTAGGTTGTTTTAATTGGTTGGCCCATTATAAGAGAATGAGAATTGTAAATAAATACATGGGTGTACAATGTAGAAGTACAAGTGTACAGTTTACATTTTAAACATAGCAATGTTGATGAATCAGGAGAAAGGTAAGGAGGTGGTGAAGAAGTATAGGGGAAAGGGAGGGTACTCAACGGAAGGGTTGGAACAGAGGGTAACATATATTATTAAAATCATGTATTCGCAACACAAAAGTTCTGGCTTGAGGATCGAGAGGTAAAATTGATTTATAAAATTTGGGCTGTTTAATAGAACACTTGCATTTATTTGAACATCTGAACATGTTAATTTTTTATCCTTTTTAAAGTAAGACCTAGAGAAAGACCTCGAATTTCTGGAATACAGATATAAATGAAGACGACTGCTAGACTGCAGACACATCCAAACATACAACTCTTGATGCCCCAATATCTCGCATATAATAATTAATCTTGGGATTGAAATAAGCTAAAACAAAACTGAAGATTGAAGAACATTTTTATGATTCTATCAGTTTTATTACTAAGAAATTCTGAGAGGACACTTATTATTATTAAAGGGTGTCCCAGAAAACATGACAGTGGCAAGACAACTTGAACCTCAGCTGGTCCTGCAATGACCTTAACTGGCTTGAAATGAACTTATCAACGCATGTTTTATCTCACTTGACCTGAGAATACCTCACCTGACCTAAGTTGACTTCACTTGACCTAACTTGACCTGAAATGACCTGAGTTGAGTTCACCTGACCTCAGGGGATTCATCTGACCTGAGGTGACTTCACCTGACCTGAGTTTACCTCACTTGACCTAAAATGATCGGAAATGACCTCGAATGACCTTGCCTTACCTGACCTTTATTCCTTTATTAACCTCAAATGACCCAAGGCGACCTTACTTGACCTAAATTTACCTCAACTATTAATCATAACGTTAGGAGCTTTAGAAATTTACTGAAATGTTTATTGCATAAGATTATGATTTATTGGCAAATTCTGTCCTTGGATAAATGCCAACAGTCTTAGATTTTAATCACTAAATTGCACTTCAAGTACTGCTCCGAGTAGGATTGATCCTGTGTATCCTAAAGAGATATCTATTCGTCCTCTACACTAAAGGACGGACCCCAGAGCCAGGTTAGAGACGATAAAAAGCGTGAACCTAAACCAACGATAGAAACAATAAAATCTTTAAACAATAATTTTTATTCAAATCAGAAAAAAGTCACAAGAAAACGAAATATGATATTTTCATCGTTAGACTAAATAAAGGCGTTTGACGAAATAAATATTGCAATAATATGCTTTTAAAATTACTCGCACTGGACTGTTTTAGTTCAAAAACATTTCCGAAATGGAATATTAAAATCGATGAAGAAGATCTTTTTATTGTAATAAAAAACATCCTGACCTGAGACCAAGGACAACTTGGCGTCATTTTTCTTCTAAGGTTTTCAAACATTTTGGATTTCTACAATCTGTCTGAATAGATTATAACCTTCTACTGCGTTTTTATCAGCCATCCGCCTTTTTGTCTTTTTTTCAAAAATGACACTTAAGTTAAAAAAATTCTATTTTGAAAATTCACAAATAAAAAAAAGAAAATCTGCGAAATTTTTTAAAATGTACGTGAAAGATAGGATTGCAGAGGGATTAGATACATAAGGCTAAGATAATTACTAAAAAGGGGTGAGAAAAGTAAGATATAATTTGCGTAACCTCAGCTGGAAACTTTTGTGTTGGATAGTCATAATTCCGATTGCTTGATCTCGATATCCACTGTAAGCCCTTTACATTTGAGAATCCATGCTTAATCTCTTCATTTCAAGTTTTCCTGGTGGTTGCAGGGTACGATTTCCACCTACGCGGAATATCGAATAAAGATAAAATTAACAAAAGATCGATATCAAGCATTGGTCTTTGAATTCACAATACAAGAGTTACCAAATTCCCTAAAAACCGGTTTCGATTGAGCGACGGCTTAAATCTTGAAACATTGAATACGATTTTGAGTGGAACCAACCATATTTGAGCCGCAGCTTAAATTTAAGCCGCGGCTCAGATTCTTTAAACTCGGTCTCGGAAGTCAGAAATGTTGTGATGTAAATCTCAGAATCCAGCATCATGACCACATTAGATATCGAGATCAAATTGGAATACTCAAAAAAGCTTCAACATTCAAATGGCCTCAAGAATGTTTAATGGAAATACAAACCACAACAAAATACATACAAAATGGGTCACATTGTCTTAAAAACCTTGTGTACTGAGATGTCTCTTTCTGTCTATAGACTGCAAGACCCTTAAACTTTCAGTTGTAAAAGATATCTAGATAAGCTTGAACCAGAGCAGAAAGAATATTATGCAGAAACTTGCTGGAAATGTCAACCCTGCTACATAAAGATATCTGGAAAATACAGACCAACTCTAACAAAACAGGTAAACTAAGGAATTCATGTTTCGTATATTTTCAACATCTAATCAACGCCAAAAAGGCTGAATTGACCAGGCTCAAATGTTTTAGGACCTCTGCACATGATCACAGAAAATGTTTATGGTCGGTTGAAATATAGACAAATTTTTTTAAAATCCGCAAATAAAAACACAAAAATGTGGGAAATTTTATCTAAAGTTTTTACTAAAAGATGTCCGAAAAAAAGCTTTACAGATAAATCGACAAAAAAGCTTAAGTAATAAATAGAGGGGGGGGGGGGATAACAATTTATTCAACTCAAATCGATTGTTTAATAAAGGAAATTAGAAATTATTTGTTACTTCACATAGGCTGAGAATTTTCAGGATTTACAAATAGTTTCAACAAAATTTTACACGACGCTCCTTCCCGTATTTAGTTTCTTATTTCTAGTTCGTGCTAAAGATACATTTCTTGAATATTCTTGTTTTAAATCTGCAGAAGATCTTTATCATTGATACGGAGAAATCCTTCAAACGACGAATTCTCAATATCGCTTTAATCTCCTACATATTATAACTTATGCAGAGTTACCTACAAAGGATGATACTGTAAAGACGACTTGAAATGCTTAAGATATGACGATTCTAAGGTTTAATTAGGTCTTCTGCCTTGAATATAGTCTTTTAATAGCTTGTTTGATGAGTTGGCAAATAAATGTGCAAGTTTACAGTTGCAGGGAATAATGAATATAAGGAAACAGACATTGTCTCTGATCCTTTGATCGAGGGTAACTTTACATATTTGCAATTTTGTGTAAAAGTAATTATTTCTAACCTCCTTTGGGCTTTGATCGAGGGTAACTTTACATATTTACAATTTTGTGTAAAAGTAATTATTTCTAACCTCCTTTGATCGAGGGTAACTTTACATATTTACAATTTTGTGTAAAAGTAATTATTTCCAACCTCACTTAAAAACAGTTCTATTTTAAAATCTAAAAGGAATTAAGTTCACAAACTCAAATTTTCAATCCTTAGATCTTTGAAACCCAATGGTATAAACCTTTGATATTTCAAATTTTTGTCATTAAACTTCATAGTTTGAAACATTTCTAAGGTCCCCCTACATTTCTAGGGGGAACTACAATGGGTTGTAACTGTTTCATAAGAAACTAGCAAGACACAATTCTCGAATTCAACTTTTTTGGAGAGTTTTAATCTCATGGTTGGTATTTTCGAAATAAAATCTCTATTACCTCTCAGGCATTAAGAACTAGACAGTAGGAGATTACTCACCCGACTTGGTGACCTTGTAGCTCCTCTAGCTTTTATTTTACATTCTTCACGTAATAAAAACATTTCAAATTCAAAAGTTTTGACCTCTATCAAATATCTTTTTCAAAGTTGCAACGTTACAATAATTTTACTTTCTTTGAAAACCTTAATTTGTGACAAAATTGAATCACACATCACTAAAACATAGCAAACATAAATATATATTTTATTCGATTTCTATCAATCACAATTCATTAAACTTCTATGCGAAAATATTGTAAAACACACACAATTCAAAAAAAAGAATAAATAAAACAATTTTTTGATTAATTAAAAGTCAATAATGTTACATCAAAAATATAAAAAATAAATTTAGTTTAAATTAAATTGAACATTTTTCATGCAATAATTATTTACATAAATTCTAACTTTAAATCGAATTTTCATTAAAAAGCTAAAAACTAAAATTAAAGCAAACAGAAAATACATCTTTCATTGTGTTATTAATCAAATAAAATTTATATTTAAAGTTATTGCAAATCAAGCAACTAAAATTGCCACTAAAAATATTAGAGATTTATTTTATAGGCCATATAGTTAATTGAAATTAATTTCTTTATGAACAATTTAAACAGTTCTTACAAACTACAATAAAAGAACTGTTACACACTCAAATTTTTTATTTTTTTAATCTTTGCAAACTGATGACAACCTTTGATATTTCAAACTTAGAATTTGTATCTAACAGAATTTACAAGTTTGAAATATCTTCGGGTTGCAAAGAAAGGGAATGAACAAATGAGAGTTTCTGACAAGAACACAGTTCTCTATAATTTGAAAGAAAACTCTTCACAACATTTTTGAATGTTTTGAATTAAAAATTTTATAAATTAGATTTTCGCTAAAATTAGCAAAATTATAGGAATTAAGCAGACTTTTATTAAAATAAGGCAGATAAAGCTTTGTGCAAGAATAAAGCCAGATGTGTAAAACTTTTCTATTAAATTTCATATCAGTAAAGAATTTTGATAAAAATTTTATGTAAGTGAAGATTTCAATTAAAATTTTATTAATTGTATATCCGTTTTGTATATCCGTATTGTATATCCGTATTGTATATCCGTATTGTATATCCGAATCTGAACTATTAGGTCTAAGAGTTGATAAATTATTGATTATGATTTAACAAAATAACTATTGAGTCTATTGATGTTAACAACAAATGGTTATTTAGTATTTACTGTTTTAATCTTTTTATTCTTATTGTTTCTAGTTCTTTTATCAACTTGTGATTTATATTAGTACGTTCCTGAAGCTGAATATGTGGATAGAATGAGTGTGAATAAAGAAAATACAACTCTATATTTCATTTACATACAGTGAGCTTTTTAGAGTGTGCCGACTCTAACAGTCTGTGACATCAGGTTGCAAAGTAAAAAGGATTAAAAGATTAGAGTTTGTAGAAATTTGTCTCTGTTTAATATTTATTATTGACAAGTAATTCCAGGGCCCAAGATCTTGTTTACCATAAATGATTGAAACCCGCTTGCATCCGGCGACAGTAAAACAAAATGGGGGTTTTTATACTTTTGTGCAGTTCAGTTTAACTCTGTGAGTACGGGTCAATATATTGCACAAATTAAGTATCAAGTAGTACTACAGGAAAAATGTTACAGATATTACAGTGTGTCCTGCTAGACATGATAATGAAGTAACACCATCAATATCGTCTTCGAAACCTATTTAATCACAAAATCTCAAAGTTTTAAAACAAAGGAATTGAGTCTTTGCCACAAATTGAAATTTTCTCTTCTCAATATCTTTGCAACCTTATGGCGTAAACCTTTGATATTTCTAGCTCAGACTATTTGACCCAACAGAGTTTGTGGGAAAAACTCAATTCCTTTACACAACCTGCAAGCTTTCTAAAATGTACCTTTTTATCTTGAAAATTACAAAGAAATTGTATTCTTCGACTGTTTTTACCCAGCTTTATACAAGGTGTCCCCTGGCTTTATACAGGGTGTCCCCTGGCTTTATACAGGGTGTCCCCTGGCTTTATACAGGGTGTCCCCGGCTTTATACAGGGTGTCCCCCGGATTTATACAGGGTGTCCCCCGGCTTTATACAGGGTGTCCCCTGGCTTTATACTGGGTGTCCCCCGGCTTTATTCAGGGTGTCCCCTGGCTTTATACAGGGTGCCCCCCGGCTTTATACAGGGTGTCCTCCGGCTTTATACAGGGTGTCCCCCGGCTTCTTACAGGATGTCTCCCGGCTTTATACAGGGTGTCCCCCGGCTTTATACAGGGTGTCCCCCGACTTTATACACTTTATACAGTAATAATTGCATATGAATAATATGCAATACCGTTTAAATATTTCGAATAGAAGGTAACACTGTCAAAACATTGCATGGAATAAAAAAAAGATTAATCAAGCCTAAAATAAAAAAGGATTAATCAAAAGAACTTATTGGCATGTAATTATTTGGTGTTAATAATAATTACAACTTTTAATTGAAGCATAAAGAACATCAACAAAAGTAAAAGTGAAAACAAATAATAGTTTTGTTTAAAAATGTTTAATCAAAAATCGAAAGTTTTTCCCATAATTATATGATTGTAGAAATATAAACTAAAATTTTACGGCAAACCATTTTTCTGTAATTGATTTATTTCTAATATATTTGATTATTCCGTTTTTTTAGGAAATGCGCCAAATTATATGGATAAACACGATTTTAGTTTTTGAGTTTGCTTGATGTTTAAAGCATTATATATATTTTGCTTTAGATTGGTCTTAGAGATGTTTCAGTGTTAAAATTTTGCCTAGAGATCTTCAGGGTTCAGATTTGGCCTAGAGATATTTCAGGGTTAAAATTTTGCCTAGAGAAACTTAGGGTTCAGATTTGACCTAGAGATTTTCAGGGTTCAGTTTTGGCCTAGAGATCTTGAGGGTTCAGATTTGGCCTAGAGATCTTCAGGGTTCAGATTTGGCCTAGAGATATTTCAGGGTTAAAATTTTGCCTAGAGAAACTTAGGGTTCAGATTTGACCTAGAGATTTTCAGGGTTCAGTTTTGGCCTAGAGATCTTGAGGGTTCCGATTTGGCCTAGAGATCTTGAGGGTTCAGATTTGGCCTAGAGATCTTCAGGGTTCAGATTTGGCCTAGAGATCTTCAGGGTTCAGATTTGGCCTAGAGATCTTCAGGGTTTACGCTGATGTAGGAGGGTTTAAAACCAGAAATAAGGCCGGGTTGAACACTTAAAATATACGATTTGATTTGAATCTTATAATTAAACACAACAAAACAAATGATTTATTTTGAGTAAGTTTCATGATGGGTGAGTAAAAAATTCACAAAAAGTTTTTTTTTCAGAGAAAGATGCAGTGGGCGGCAAACTTAAAGGGAGTGACCGGCTAGATATTGTAGTTGAGCAGAGAATGCAGATTTCACGCTCACAGTCTCTTTAATCATTAATTATAAGGAACAGCAGTGCTTGGTATCACACGGTAATTAAAATACTTTAATGGTTTATCATCCACAAAGATTGACATTGCATTTAACTTGTCAGCTTGCTCCCCTCTCCCCTCCACAACTTTTCCTCAAACATTCTTAATTACCTTTTTCCTAAATAAGCGGAAGAAGTGAAATGGACAAAAACAGATTTGCGAAAAAGCTGAATTGTGCAATTTTACGCTAAATGAAATCTGCGATTGATTGACATATTGCTGTTTTTTTTTCGCGCAAAAGTGTTTCGCTACGAAAGAAATATTTTTCGCTTTGGAATAGAAACCCTGCTTTCATCGATAATTTCTTTCAAGCAATATGTTCCTATTCATGTCATTAAGAAATCTATCCTTAAAAGCAAGCCTTCAAAAGATCTAATTTAAAGATCTAATTTGCGCTCTTACTACAATGTCTGGCCGGTCACTCCCTTTAACTTATTATCTCTACCAAGCAAATATCAAAATTTTATCAAGATATATAAAATGTAACGACTTACATATTTCTAAAGACAATTTCACCACCTTTTTTAAAACAGTTTGGCGCATAAAATATCCATCCCTAAACATTTATATTTATTCAGAATTTTAGACAACTTTGCACTAGAGTTAATTAAAATCCCAAATTTTAAATACTAGAAATTCAAGGCGCTTCGCGCCCTTCTTTCTAGGATTTTAGGGCTCTTCGCGCCCAATTTCTATTTAAATTGTGAACATATTCTTTTTGCGGATTTTTAAAAAAAATTCGCGGATTTTCAAAAACAAAATCACGGATTTTCAAGAAATTAATTTATTTTACAATATTAAAAACCTTTAAAACACATTTATTTTTATTTTCATCATTCATAAACCTTCCCTGTGGTCACGTGATGTCCCACAAAAAATTTGGGCCCGATCGGTTCAGCCGTTTTGACGTTTATTGGATACAAAAAGACAGACAGACACCCAAACAGACAAATTTATATATAGAAGATGAATATTTACGTTGCAGGCAGCCACTTGCTCGCATAAAGTTTGGCATTGATCTGCAGTCGCAGCTTTCGTCGCCATGTCTACAAGATTCCCATTCAAATCTTGACCCAAAACCTATTGAGACAATTTTACAGTTTCTTTTATATATTTTTACATATTTATAAAATTTTAAACTTTTTCAACAAAAAAATGGTTTTGTTGGTTCTATTTATACGCAAAGTGCTGCGTTGATTATAAATGGGTGATATTTTAGGACTTATTGCAAAATGCATAAATGGGTTGGATGGGTCGGATTCTGCACAATAAGAATAAATGCTACTATAAATTCCTGGAAAGGATTGACTCCAAGAATTGCTTTGCTTCGCCTGCAATCTGCAGATTCATCAAAAGAGCACAAGACAGAATCTCCACTGAAAAAAAAATAATTTTAGTTTTGTTTCTAAAACCATTAAATCAAATAGTGCAAAATGATTTGTTTACCTTGTAGATTCTCTGGTATTGTTTATACGCACTATTGTATTATTATTATATTATAAAGATTTATTCACACACAAAGATATAAATACATATATAAATGGTGTAGTTTAAATTTGTTTAAATAAATTTTTTTTTGAAAATACAGGTTTCCAAAAGAAAAGAGAAAAAATATGCAAATTTATGCACAAATAGAAAACATTGATTTTTACTCACTACATAACATATTTATCATTTCAGTTATTACGTAATCATCGAATCCTTCAACATATAAATTATTCATTCTTGTATTTAAAAGTTCTTGTAAAACCGGAACTTCCCATACATGTTCCAATGGGACATCAAAATATTTCAATTGTTTATAACTAACATTTTACCAAGATCCGAAGGACTTACAGAACAATCATTTGCAATAGAAAATAAATTTCTGCCAAGAACTGTGTTGAGGTCATTTTTACATAAATTAGAAAGAAATCTAATGCAAAGCTTAGAACTTGCTTCAATAGTCTCATAGAAAGACACACATCTGCTAGCTAACATAGTTTTTTCATGTAAACATTGTGAAATACTTTCAATCAAGTACCTATCCGTATCTCTAGGTACATTAAAAAGAATTCTAAGAGCAGTATTCCATGCGGTATACAATTTTGAAACACATTGGGAACTCAAGTCCCAAATACTAGATCCATAAAAACTACAACAGTAAATATTATACAGTTTCAAAATAACATCAGGACTGTTGAAATAAAATTCTTGGTTAAGGGAATAAATTTTTGAAATGAAAATAGCTCGTTTTTTATTGCAATCTATGGTCATTGAATTATCACTTTGCAGAACATTTCCTAAATGTTTTAAGTCGTTAACAAATGGTAAAGGTAATTCATTCAATAAAATTGGGGTTATTTCATTATAATTAATCCTTTCTTTAGAAAAAAAAAGGCATTTAGTTTTACATTTTTCGATTCGAATATTTGTACTAAATTTCAGTTTAGTAGCTATGGCAAAATTTTCACAAATTTTCACCATTTCCTGAAGACCTGTTCTGCTAGGAGAAAGCAGATTAATATCATCTGCATATACCCAGATTCCCATATAGACACCCTGGATTTGGCATCCAATCGTTGAACATCGTAATAACTTGATAATTTTGTCAATGTAAATACAGAATAGCACAGGGGAAGAAACTACTCCTTGTCTGACTCCATTTTGTACATTGAAGGTGTTTGAGAACGCATTATATTAGCTAATATATCCAGTTATAATGAAACTCCTACTACAATATAGGAGTTATGACTAAAACAAGATTTAAGTCTTTCGTGGAATGTAAATTAGCCAGGGGTCAATATAATTCCCTTTTCAATCCCATTTGGGATTGACAAATTTGAAAGAAATGGGGGCAAATTCTTTAATTGGGGGCAAATTTTTTTATATGATAATTTGAAAAAAAATTGGGGGCATTTTTTTTAAA